GAAAATATGCTTATTAAGTTTGCAGATGATACCAAGCTGGGAGGGGTTGCGACTAATCTGCAGGATAGGGTCATAATTCAGAATGACCTGGACAAATTGGAGAAAAGGTCTGAGGTAAAGAGGATGAAGTTTAATAAAGACAAATGCAAAGTGCTCCACGTAGGAAGGAACAATCAGTTTCATACATACAGAATGGGAAGCGACTGTCTGGGAAGGAGTATGGCAGAAAGGGATCTAAGGGTTATAGTGGACCACAAGTTTAATATGAGTCAGCAGTGTGATGCTATTGCAAAGAAAGCAAACATGATTCTGGGATGCATTAACAGGTATATTGTGAGCAAGACATAAGAAGTCATTCTTCCGCTTTACTCTGCACTGGTTAGGCCTCAATTCGAGTATTGTGTTCAGTTCTGGGTACCGCATTTCAAGAAAGATGTGTAGAAATTGGAGAGGGTCCAGAGAAGAGCAACGAGAATGATTAAAGGTCTAGAGAACATGACTATGAGGGAAGACTGAAGGAACTGGGTTTGTTTAGTTTAGAAAAGAGAAGGTTGAGGGGGGACATGATAGCAGTTTTCAGATATCTAAAAGGGTGTCATAAGGAGGAGGGAGAAAACTTGTTCATCTTGGCCTCTGGGGATAGAACAAGAAGCAATGGGCTTAAACTGCAGCAAGGGAGGTTTAGGTTGGACATTAGGAAAAAGTTCCTAACTGTCAGGGTAGTCAAACACTGGAATAAATTGCCCAGGGAGGTTGTGGAATCTCCATCTCTGGAGATATTTAAGAGTAGGTTAGACAAATGTCTATCAGGGATGGTCTAGACAGTATTTGGTCCTGCCATGAGGGCAGGGGACTGGTCTCGATGATCTCTCGAGGTCCCTTCCAGTCCTAGTATTCTATGATTCTAGTGTTGTCTACGTAGGTCACGTCTTCACAACGCAGAAGATCAGTGCTGCTGCAGTCGATATTCCAGGGTTTGATTTAGTAAGTCTAGTTAAGACTTGCAAAATGGAACTCAGAAAACACTCCCGATTGTTGCCAGTACTCTTGCTCCTCATGAGGAATAAGGGAAGCTGATGGGAGCAAATACTCCCATCGGCTTCCTGCTGTGTGGATGGCATGGAAACTTGATTTAACATTCATTGACTCCAGCTACATAATTAATGTAGCTGGAATTGTGTATCTTAATTCAACCTTCCGCTGTAGTGTAGACCAAGGCTCAAGGTCTTAGTTTGACTTAATTGCCTCCCTCGGGGGCATGGATTTTTCATATCCTTGTGGGACATAGCTGGGTTGATCTAATATTCTATTGTAGACTGGTTCTAATTTTCATCTAGTTTATTTCTGTGGTAGTTTACTTGGTTATTTTGACACATCCTTTAACTCTTGTAGAATGAGGGTTACAGGGATGCAAAAATAACACACCCAATATTTCAAAATAATGGGTGTGTTTAAAAGACTCGGGGTAGCTATTTCGGGATGCCTCCAGTATCCTGAAATAACCCCACTGTCTAGATGTACCCTTATTTTATTTATTTATTTATTTATTTGACTTTTTTGTGAAATTTTCATTCCCCTCAAGCTGATGTTTTTGCAAAATCTCATCTTGATGAAATTGATCTAACAATCTTTGAACAAACATACTTGGTTATGTAATTTTTCATATTCTTAGTTCTTAGGTGTAATAAGTTCTAAAGATTTTTGTGCTACAAAATCTTTGGATGTTTCCTGAACTTTCCTTAAGAAAAAGCTTTATAGTATCGCAACTGATCTTTTGTGAGTCCTTCTTTAGCGCCCATTATTTCAACAATAGGACTAGACAGGATAAATCCTAATTTTAATAATTGAGGGATGTGTGAAAGAAGGCTGTAGAAGTCATTCTAGTCACTGTATATGCTTTGCATTCTCTGTGCACTTAATCATACATCTGTCTTGTATTGGCTCTTACCGTTCCATTGCAAAAGCTATTCTTGTGATTGCCTAACATTCTTATATATAGCTGCTATACTTATTTCCAGATGGGAAAAAACGCTTCATTGGCATAAGGATGCTGACAATAACACCCAAGTAAGTATCTTTTAAATATATGTATATATACTGAACTAGTACACATAAAATGTATTATAAATGTTTAGAGGTAGTTCAGAGCAACAATGTTCAGATCTTTATGTAAACTTCCACAAGAGTTTTGGACATGTATAGTATTCGGCAATGAAATTTACATTCTGAGATTTGGAAATTACTCATCTCACAGGTCTCTCACTAGTGACAATACACATTATTGTGTGCTCTGCAGACTTTTCACTTTGCTTTTCCCCGTCATCCCATTTCTGTTAGAATCCAATTCCCTTTTATAACCAAAATGAAAGTCACACTAAGCATTATTTTGATACCAGGGCAGTATTTTTTCCTTTATTCCACATACATGGTAGGATTAAAAATTGTCAACTTCATTTACTTGTCCCTTCTCAAAACCCCCCAAAAGCATTTCTTAGCCATCTGAATTATGCAAAAAAACCCTGACATAATGAGAATAAAATCTTACAATTCTCTCTCTTCATCATATTTAACACAAAATCAGTAATTGTCTGTAGAGCAAGTGAGCAAACATTACTGTGGCTATACTAAGTCAGACCAATAGTCTGTCTAGCCAAGTATCTTGTCTTCCAGTGGTGGCCAGTGGCAGATGCTTCAGAGGGAATGAACAGAACAGGGTAGTTTTTACTGAGTGGTCCATCCTCTGTCATCTACTTCCAGCTTGTGGCAGTCAGGGGTTTCCACCTTCCCCTGAGGAATGGGATGTGGGTCACTTGCAGGTTTAAACTATGTAAATGGTGTAAACTATGTAAATACTTTGCAAGTTGAAGTCTTGAAACCATGATTTGAGGATTTCAGGAACTCTGCCCGAGGGTAGGGCTCTCTTACAGGAATTGGTGGTGAGGTTCTGTGGCCTGCAACATGAAGGAGGTTATCCTAGTTGATCACCGTGGTACCTTCTGACCTTAAAGGCTTTGAGTCTATGACTGCAATTTAGAGCCCCTCATTTGTATGTACAATTTTGTGTTTACATTTTCCAATGTACATTACTTTGCATTTCTCAGCATTGAATTTCATCTGCCACTTTGCTGCTCAGTCACCTAGTTATGTGAGATCTCTTTGTAACTCTTTATATTGTTCTGTTTACAGTTAGACAATTCCTCTTTTACACCAGCAGCTCTGTCTCCAGTGCGGCTGAAGGCTCTGTAACTAAACACCCGTTTGCAGCACATGCAGCTAATGTTTTTGACCTATCTGCTTTTATTTTGTCGAGTTATAGTTTTGCTCTCTCCTATCAAATCTTCAGCAGTAATAAATCAGTGACTTTGTTGACTTCCATGGAAACTGACTGACACCAGCTGAGGATTTCTTTTTAAATATCATGACATAGGTAGTCCGTGTGAGCGCTCGGCATTTGCAGTCGCTAACAAAATAGAGCAAGAAGTTGCCATGGCCATTTTTGATAACTATCTTTGTGTGTGTTTTAACTCTATTAACTTCACATGGAAAAATAAAGTGGCTTGTGAAGCAGTGCTGGTTTCCTTTCTGTCTGACAGCACAGCTCACAAACCCTCCGGTTACAATATTGAAGCACAGCCCATGTGTGCAACTGAGGTTGAAAGTCTAGACCAACAGATAGGCTTGAACATAGGCAGGGCATAGAGAGGGCATTCAGGGTTGAATCCCCATCCCCTTTCTGCTTGGTCTGCCAAGCGGGAGAAAGGTGGCTCTGTCCTTCTCCTCCTGTATGTCCCCTCAGCATGCTCAGCCCCTGTCCTTAGCAACTGAGCCTGGGCAGGGAGTGGAATAAATGAGACCAGACACTTTTCACACTGGCTGCTCAGGGTTGCTGCTCTGTGCAGCACAGAGGCTTCCTGAGAGAACTTGGCTGAGGTGGCAGCGGCAGGGGTCTACCCCTGCTTAGGCTGGGCTGCCAGGGACCGGAGCCAAGTGAGCCAGAATCCCCCCTTTCCCCTCAGTCTGTTTAAGGCTAACTTGGCTTCTGTCCCCAGCAGCTAGACTCAGGCTCACTGCCACCTCTCCAGCCAGATTCTCTCAGGTAACTGCTACACAGCCAGCATTAGCTGTGTGAGAAGCAGCTCCGTCCTGCTCCCTTCCTGCACTTGGCTGCATGGGCAGTGGGAGAAGGCCCAGCTGGGGAAGGCAAGCCCCATCCCCATCCCTCCTGCCTGAAACCCGGCTCCTTCTGTAACCTTCCCGCCCTGTGGAGCCAAGCCCGGCCCCCAACTCAAGTTACTGCTTCCAGCCCTCTGGGTGTCCCCCATCTCAGTGGGTGGTGTGGCCCCACCCTTCCCAAGTGGCCAGAGTGCCTGGGGCAGCTTCCTGATCCTTCTTGGCTAGCCAGAGAACTGGGCTGCTGTGCTGTGACCTCTGACCTCCAGGATGGCTGGGGTGCCAGGTGACTTCACCGTGGCTCCTGCTTTCCCAAGTGACTGGAAAGCTAGGCTGCCACGCCCCAGCCTCTGCCCTCATTGGTGGCCAGAAAGCTGGACTGCCATGCTGTGTCCCCTGCCCTCCTGGGTGGCCGGAGTGCTGGGCTGCCAGACCACTGCCCCAGCCTTTCTAGGCAGCCAGTAGAAAGCATTGGTAGTTTTCGGAAGGAATGCTTTCCCTGGCCTACATTACCCCCTGCCCATGCCCAGCTGACAGGGACAGTGGCTGAAAGTGCCAGAGTAGAGGCATAGCGGGAGAAGAGGGAGAGGAACGCTGTCCTACGCACACACTGCAGGTAGCTCAGTATGGGCAGGCATGAGTCATCTGTGGGCTTGACACAACTGTGTACCCTGAGCCTGGGTTTCAGTCATCCTCAGAAAACAATAGGGGTTATTTTGCAGATGGCTCCTTACTCTACAACAAGCCACATGAAGAGCACTTGAAAGCAGAGCAAAAATTACCAAACAAGATTTTTTTAAAAAAACCCTCAGGAGTTTGGGTCTTGCTATGGACCAGGCACAGGTCTCCTGTTTGATACTGGAGTTACCAAAAGTGTTATATTTTTAACTGAAGATACAATAAGGAATGAAATGTCAAAATAAACAAACTACACAAAACTAGTAAAATTTTGCCTTACCATCCGTGTGAATGTTACTTAGTTTACAAACTTTCTGGGCCATTTTTTTTCATTCTGTGTTTGTACAGCACTTAGCACCGTAGTGTCCAACATGCTAACCGCTAGCCACATGTGACTATTTGGCCAGTTGAATGTGGCTAGTTTGCTACTATAGTGGCTACTGCTTCAGATCTGGTTGAACACCACGGACCTAGCACAATAGGGTCAAAGAGTGGACTCTTAGGTGCTGCTTCTTCTTCTTAAATCCTTGTACTCCGAGTGGAGCATAGGTCATCTTCAAGTCTCCCCCACTTCATTCTGTCTCGAGACAAAACTTCTAGCTGACTCCAGGAGTACCCCAGTTGTTGTCCTTCAGTCTCAGTAGATCTTCTCCACATTGTCTGAGGTCTTCCTCTTTTGTGTTTTCCTTGTGGGTTCCATGTGAGATCTTGACAGACTATGTTGGATGATGAGTTTCTGAGAGTGTGGCCTAGCCATCCCCACTTTCTTCTCTTGATTTGAACATCAAGTGGTTCTTGACCTGCTCTGTTCCAAAGCTCCTCATTTGTGACAAAGCCTTGCCATTTGATATAAAGGATGTAACTCAGGCATCTGTTTATGAATGTCTATAGCTTGTGATTTGAAGACTTTTTAGTATAGAAATAGAAAAGGCTATATCTGTATGAAATGCTGGACAATAATTATAGCTTTTGCAATAGATGATGCATGTTAGCTAATTTAATTCCACTTAAAAATCTGCTGATATACAGATTTTTTCAATACGGCAATTTTAATTCAGGGTGATTTGTAGATACATACTTAGGTTAAGTTAATGTATTTTATTACACTTATTTTATTCAAGAGAAAGGTCAAGAATAATACAGTACTTTTGAGAATTATTTCTCTTTGAAACAATAAAACTGATTCAATATTTTAATCTTCTCTTAGTCTTGTGGAAGAACTAAAACTCAATAATCCTGATTTTCCTGATGTCAGCAGTGGAATTTATGTACATGAAGTTGTTCCAAATTCACCTTCTCAGAGGTAGGTGGATTCCAAAACAAACATCATTTTTCTTCATGTTGAAATACTTATCCAACAGAAACTGGCAAGCAGTGTTGTCATTTATATTGTAGGTCTTTCTTGTTCTCAATTTATATTATTTTTGCTTTCTAAAGGAATTTGGGCCTTTTAGTAAAATAACTGTTAAAATATTTTGATGAATTTCTATTAACATTAAAATGGTTAAAATGTTTATAATATCATTGCGAAGGGCAACATCTTAAAGTATTAACTAGCTTGAATTTTTAAATAAATAAATACACTTGAACAAGTATGTAACCTTATTTGTGTTTGAAAGGCAAAATTAAGTGTGAATAAACAGAACTTTTAATATAAATGAGGATGCTGCTTGCCAATCTTTGTTGAATAAACTTCTTCATGTGTTCCCTATTACTATGACTTAGTAGCTGTTGGCTTGAAATTTCTACAGCCAAGGCTCAGTTTTCAAACTTTGTTTCATACTAATATTGTTAAGTCCCAACACTTCACCTTGGAGGAATGAATGACTGTTTTTTCAGGTTTTCCACATATCTGATTTTAAGACTTTTTTTCTGGGAATTAATAAGAAAATTGGAGAATGAACTAAAAGTCAGATAAATATTTGAAAAGCAAAAAGAAAAAATTACCAGCATTTTGGTCAGTATATTCTGTCCACTTCAGAATTTTTAGAAGTAGAATTTGTTTCTTCTCAGGGCATTCAGTATATATTACAGGGGATAGTCCAGTCCTGGAAGAAGGATGTGTTCCTTATTTCATTCAATTTCACACCAAAGGAAAATTAGATTTTTTTTCTCTCTAGCTACACTGTTATAGAAGACATAACTTCACTTAAATGTTCCATTAGAGCTGGGCACAATTTTTCATGTACATTTTTCTCTGTAAAAATTGCAGATTCAGCAACATCAAAACATTTTGCAAACTTGTGTTGATTTTTTGGAACGCTTATTTTGGAGGGAAAAAATCAAATACATGAAAACATCTTATTTTAACTTGATATGATATTTTGTTTAAAAATGTCCTTTATTTTCTTTTTAATGATAATATTTAAAGTTATTAAAATCAGAAAGAAACATTTTGGTTTTGTCAAAATGAAATATTAAATGTGAGCAAAAACTTCTGGTCAATTCACTGATAAATTAAAACTTTTAATTTTTTATCCATTCTGAAATGATTTTCAACTTTTTAAAATTTCCAATGAATAAAAAAAAAGTCCATTATGCACTTAGCTCTGTGCTTTATGTCTGATATTAGAAAACTTCCCAGATTATAGAGTACTAAACTTATTAAGCACCCTGCATGAAATTCACCTATATGGAAAAGCGCAGAATAAAAATAAGTACAGATACCACTACATCAATTAAGTGCTTCATAGACTTTGTACTGGTCCTCTATACAGGGTGGATATACAACTTGAATACACAACTTAATCCTTGCTTTATCTTGCCTATACAGAGGTGGTATCAAAGATGGAGACATCATTGTCAAAGTAAATGGACGTCCTTTGATGACCTCAAGTGACCTGCAAGAGGCTGTGATGAATGAGTCACCTCTACTACTTGAAGTTCGAAGGGGAAATGATGACCTGCTGTTTAATATAGCGCCGGAAGTTGTCATGTAAATCAAACTGAGGAAACACACACCATAACTAAACTCACGTATTCTGAAACATCAGATACCTCTTTTACAGATGCAGTAATTACACTTCCTGTTGACTAATGACAAGGTGGACTAACTTGATTGCCTGAACCATATCCATACACTGTAGCTCAATTTAATTAGGTTACACAATGAAAACAAATGTAATTGTGTTAAAATATATTTTGAGGATAACAATAAACAACCCCACAATTTGGGTAAGTTGGGCACATTATTCATATCTGTGCAATATCCAGGGCCTCAAGCACCAGTACTTTCGGCCTATCTATTGTCTGCCTGTGCCACATAACAGGCCTTTGACTGACATGCTTTAGTCTAACTTTGGTTGTTGGCTTTAATGCATGGATTCTGTGTCGTGTAGACGGCCTGTGATGTACAGGAGTTCAGACTAGAAATCACAGTCTCTCTGGTCTTAAACTCTATGACTCTTTCTGAGCTGTCATTATAGAAATGGGCTCCAATCCAAATCTCTTTAAATTTAATGGCAAGGCCAGTTTTATAATTTAAAAATCCATAATTCCATCTGCAGGGAGGAAACCCGGCTAAAAATGGGAAATTACCATTGGATGATTATAAGCAGGACTTTGACACAGCAGAATTAAGCTACTTTGACCAAAAGCTCAGCTTTTGTTTGTTTGTTTGTTTGTTTGGCCTCTTTGAGTGTGAAATTAGCCTTGGCCTTATTTGTTTTCGGAGCTTGTAAATTACATGTGAATGCAGATGGAGAAATTTTGTAAAAATAGTATGAAAGTGGTAATAGGTATAGAGTGTTACACCTAGGTCATGCAATTCTGGAATATTGTAAGTGATTCTTATAGAATTAATGCTTAAATATATAAAAATCGAAACAATGTGCAGAAAAAAAATTTAAAGTGCACAGTATTTTTGCAGGTTTTTTTAAAGTCATAGTACAAATTAGTTTTTCATTATCCCGGTATGCTTTGCTAAAAAATTGATATACTACATATGCTTGTATTGTATATGTTTCTACTGTATGGAAATTGAAGTTTACACAAATAAAATTTTGCTTTTCACCGCTGTTAATAATTATTTTTTGCAATTATTCTCTTATTCTGGAATAGACTCTCCTTAGAGCTTTTTAAAGGCTACAGAAGTCTTTTTTTCATAACTTTGCCACATCTTTGTTTGCTGAGATTCTGCCCTTCCTTAGCCTATGTTTAGTAATCCTTTGCGTACATTACAATTCACAAATTATAATGTGATTTACACATTATTTATGCTATGGGGGCAACTAGAGAACACTGCTAAGAAAAATTTTTGCTTCAGCTACACCAAACTAACACGGCTACATTTCTATTACTATGCTAAGAAAAAGGCTTTGTTGTGCTAAATTGCACATATACACTCTGTAAGAGACTGTCTTTGACCTGAAGATATTAAATTCTAAGACAAAGAAAGTGCCATTAACTCTAGTTTACAGTTAGAGGCACAGAAAGATTATGCAACTTGCCATAGATCAAACAGGGTGTCTACAATGCAATTAAAGATCCTTTGCTGGCTCATTCTAGTTGAGTTGAACTAAGGGACTTAGGCTAAGGGGCTGTTTATTGTGGCATAGACATTGTGACTTTAGGCTGTGCCTTGGGCTGTAGGGCCCTATGTGGTCAGAAAGCTTGGGCTACAGACTAAGCCCAAACATCTACACCACCATTAAACCTTAGCCCAAGACCTGCGAGCCTGAATCAGCTGGCACAAGCCAGCCATGGGTGACAAACTGCAATGTAGAAATACCCACAGTAAGCCTGGGGCAGAGCCAGGAACTGAACCTAGCTCTCCTGGGCCTCAGTGCTTATGGTGTGACCCTAACGCAAGCTAGTCAGAAAGTGTAAACTTCATTTCCTGGACTTAGCTTTTGAAACCATCATCGAGGTCGTGTGATTAACAGCCCTGTCATAAAGTGAGTTTGGTATCTACTACTGCCAATAGCTAGTGGTCCATCTAAAACACTGTATTACCATAGTTTCATACCGCCTATTTTAGCTAAGATCTTTGGATTATAAAGTGCTTGGCTGAATCTCCATAAACGTTCAGGCACTTTTCTGTACAACAGTTGGTTGGCTGTGGCTTTCTCCAAGGCAAAAATACAGCAGAAGTATGATTTTGATCTTTAAGAGAAAACTGGCAGCTGCAGCTTGTATAAGTCAAGTTCAGGTCAACAGGATGAAAGCATTCGGTATTCATTAGCTGGACAATCCTGTGATTCCTAGAAAAAGGTCTAATCCTGCCTCATTGCTTACATAAAAGGCCTGCTCCAGGAAAGTAAAATGATAGATTCCCATTAACTTCTGTGTGACTCTCAGCCTGATCCATCATTCACAGGAGTATAGCCACATAAGAAAATAAAATGCCTGCTCCAGAGAGCTTGCATGCGAAGGGCTGTTTTCTGTTCTCAGTGAACTCAACGTGGATTTTCTATTGGCTGCAATGTGAGCAGGCTTGGGCCCAAAATTATACAGATTACAAGGAATAAGGGGGAAAAGGGAAGCAGAGGGTGACAGATGAAATGAAGGTTGGAAGAGCGATGGGGGAAGGAAACACAAAGAAAAAGCACAGCGAGAGCTTCCTTGGGAGACATTAGTTTTCAGGAAAGTGTATCTTATTTTTTCATTTGTTTTATATATTTTGTGGATCAGATCCTTGGCCAATGTACCATAAAGCTGATTTATTCAGCTCCATGGGGATTCCTCTTGCCTGTGGGACTCCTCTTTTGATACATAGCTGCCTTAGGCTACATCTATACTACAAGGTTTTTGTGCAAAAATCCGAGGCGCGTCCATACCTCAAGCATGTTTTTGCACAAGGAAATGGACAGTAAAATGGCAGAACAGAGGGCTTTTTGTGGTGCAGGTAAACCTCCTTCTATGAGGCGTAAGTCCCTTTTGCGCTACAGCTCTTGTGCAAAAAGGCAAGTGTGGACGCTTCACAGGGGTTTCTTGCGCAAAAAGAGCCTATCTGAAAAAGCACAGGCGCTCTGATGGCCAGTCTGTGAATGACAATCAAAGCTTTCTTGCGCAAGCGCATCCATGCAGTGTGGACGCTCTCTTGTGCAAAAGCACATCACAAAAGCAATGCGCTTTGAGGTGTGGATGCACTTTTGCGCAAGAAGTTTTTACACAATAACTCTTCCACAAAAGACCTCTTGCACAAAAACCCTGCAGTGTTGACGTAGCCCCAGTGGCTGCTAATCCATACCATCTCTCTGCCTTCAGTGCAAATATTACTACTTTATTATGTAGGAACAGATTCTGGACTCTGTGTATGAAGCAAGAAAGAGGGTTTATTACATACACAGCACTGGCGGAGTGTCACATCTTTTGTTAAGAGCAACGAACACTGCCAAACAATAGGTTACAACTAATTATATAGGATGCTCAATGGGCAGATCAAGTGATGGGTGGGGGAGGAGATCCCAGACCCCCTGGATAGATGCTAATCGTGAGGCAAAATAAGAGCACTAATATAAAGTTACATAGTGTTTCCTCCCATATCTTACATAATACCTTACATCTAGTAAAACAAGTATTTAAACAAAGCAGACATCAATTATCAATTATGTGTTAGGTGGCAGTATGTCAGCTTCAAGAAGGTGTCTCTTCACTGAGGTGGGTCAGCTGGGGATTAAAGCAGAGACATTAGGAGTACTTGACAATTACACATTTGTTCCTAACACCATTGAATATGTCATGGCCTGTCTCCCTATCCTGGGTCGTTAGCTCTATGTCGACCTTTCTTTGATGGGCTTGGGGGGCGAGGGGTAACCATCATGTACTGTGTTAGTGTGCCAATTCCAGACTCCAAATTTAGAATAGAGGTTCATAACACAATAACATAGCCTGCCTCAGAAATTTTTACCCTACAGTTATTTCTATTTTCATTGTCCTTTTTGTTAGAATAATACACATTTTTGGCAATGCTATGGGCCCTCTTAAACTTGACACAGCCTAAGGCATGCTGAGGCCCTAAATTATGTCTAGACTGCAGAGCTTTTCTGGGATACCGAAGGTATTGTGGAAAAGCTCTGTCGTGTCCAAGGAATGCGTCCACTTTTTCAGAACAGTTTCCAAAAAAGCAGACATGTTCTGTCGGCATCCCTGTATTCCTCTCAGTGAGAGAAATGAGGGATATTCCAAAAGAGGACTTTTTTTCCAAAATTTAGCCCTGTGTAAATGGGCCAGATTTCAGAAAAGCGTCTTTCTGAAAAAAAGCGGTAAAAGATACGCAAATCGTAGTTCATAATTTGCACATATTTTTCCAACTTTTCTCAGCAGTCTAGACTTAACCTCAAATCCGGCCATGGGCAGCTAGCAGGGAACCCATCAGCCATGCAGCACAGCAATGGCATAGTGCTGCCAACCAGACAGTCAATGGCTCAGTCAGCAGCAGCCAGAATCCCTTTGACTGGTTACCCACATATTAAGAGCTATTCATTTTTTAAGTTAATTCAGGCAGAAAGAATCAGGCCCACCTGCAACTGTGTAAAGGCCCATGAAAAGATTTTGGTGGCTGGCCCTGCTCTGATTGACAGGAGTGAAATTCTTTGGCTTGCACACTGAGGAATCTGCTCTTGTATTCCAAACGTACATGTAGAGCCCTGCATATCTGCAGATATCATATTAAGAGCTATTCATTTTTTAAGTTAATTCAGGCAGAAAGAATCAGGCCCACCTGCAACTGTGTAAAGGCCCATGAAAAGATTTTGGTGGCTGGCCCTGCTCTGATTGACAGGAGTGAAATTCTTTGGCTTGCACACTGAGGAATCTGCTCTTGTATTCCAAACGTACATGTAGAGCCCTGCATATCTGCAGATATTGGCTTCATATCTGTGGATAGTGGAGCGGATACCCACGGACGACTTTTTCCTCCTGTCCCGTTACCAGGCAGAAAGGGGACACCAGGGCAGATCCCTGCATTGTTGGCAGGGAAAGGACACGAGAAGCTGCATCCTAAATCTTCCTGTGGGAAGGGCTGAGTGCTGGCACTGCCCGGCTCGGCTCCCTCACTCCCCTTACCTGGTGAGCACTGACCTGCGGTGTCCTAGCGGGCTGTCTACCTCTTCCCTGCATGATCCTGTCCCCTTCTTGATGATTTGTTCTTCCTCCTCACTCTTCCAGATTTGTTGTGAAGGTACAAGTAAAATCCAGATCGTGGATTGCAGGTCGATGAGGAGTTGAGCCTGGTGGATGCCGATTCACATTTTTGTATCTATGTAGGTCTCCACTTACATGTATTTTTTGCTATAGTTTGTGGTGTATTAGTGTATCAGCCAGGCAGCCTATAGATGGAACAAAAACTGCCTGTAGACATGGTAGTGAGGCTTTGGGCTGTCGAGTAGTAAATAAATATGACTGAATACCAGGAAAAGTATATTTATTCTTTCTTATGTGAGCTTTTTTTTTTTTCCTGTAGGAGAGGAGGAAAGCCAGGAAAAGCAATTGCCACCCCTTCAAAAGACTCCTCTGGGCACTGTGGGAACAAGTTAAAAAGCTACTCATTCTTTGTGGCTAGTGTTTGTTGGAGCAACAGTTTTCATAAACAGCCCACCCCAGTCATAGTAAGGGAAAAACCAGTTCTCGCAGGAAGCAGTCGCCAGGGAAAACACTTGGGCAATTCTAAAGACTTAGTCAGAAAGTTGCACAGCTGCTAAGTTCAATGACTTATAAATACAAGATTGTCTCCATGTGAAATTGCATTCCACTCCCTCTCACCTTCCCTACCTCTGGTAGTAGATGCACACTTTGTGTTAGTACCTCACCAGAAACTTAGCAAAAAATAACACACACACGTTTGCCTCCGAACATAATGGGTGTCCTCCTCAGACTGTAAGATCCTGATGGAATTATGAGCAGAGACTTCCTGGTGCTGGAGAAAACACCTCTGGTGATTTGGGAGCTGACTCTAGCCTCTTAATTAGCAATAAAACAGTGCTCCAGTATTACAGACGGGGATGCTTTACTATGTCAGTAGCTATTTTCCATGTGACATACAAACCGCAACTGAAAAGTTGTGGTCATCA